ATCACCAAAGACAAGCTTGAAAAAGCTGTTGGGCAGTCATGGGCTAAACTTGCCACAAGTGATGAGTTAACCCCCGCCCTCAAAGGAGTTTACTTGTTGGAAGCAGGGAAGGCGGGAAAACCCAGTGAAGATGGAAACCCTGACGTAGAACATCAACCATCGTCTACCTACAGCCGAAATGAATTTGGCAAACACTACCAAGTCTTTGGAGCCCAACCTCTCCTTTCGAAACCTTTTCGTGCAGCAGTGCGTCACATTATGGTGGAGACATACTTGCAGAAGGTAGCAGGCGTGGAAATGTCAAAGAAGAGGGCATTGATCCGCTTGGAGGAAGCGAAAGGCAAGGGAGTTTTGTCGTGGTTGACAACGCAAGGGTTGTCAGCAGATGAAAGAATGCTGCCTGATCTATATCGAGAGTCAATCGGTCGTGTACTGGGGAGTCACNAGCAGGCGTGGAAACGCCAAAGAAGAGGGCGTTGATCCGCTTGGAGGAAGCGAAAGGCAAGGGAGTTTTGTCGTGGTTGACAACGCAAGGGTTGTCAGCAGATGAACGAATGCTGCCTGATCTATATCGAGAAGCAATCGGTCGTGTACTGGGGAGTCACGATCGAGCAGACTGCAACACAGGCAAACTTTGTGGTGCAGGTGCATTGTTACCATGAAAGGACCGCCTGAGCCGAGCCCACTCCCTCGTCTGCACCAAGACCGGCACCTCAGCCTTCCTCGATAACAGGATGGTTGGCGTAGTCCTCAAGACACTGCGTGAGTGCCATATGCCCATCGCCGTTGAGGATTCTTCCCCTTTTACCACAGGTACTGGTAGGGGACAGGGGCTATTAATACAAGATGGATTTGGTAATCCCCCCAGGATTACAAACAGGAGAGAAGGAAGCGGAACTCTGCACCAAGTCCATTCTTATAGACGCAACAATCGTCAACTCATCCGCAGGTCGAAGCATCGACAAGTCGATGCAAACGCCAGGATCTGCCCTCGAAGATCGAGCTGCAAGTAAGGCAAATCGCTGTGCGGGAACTTTCAACCCGTCTAGATCTACCCTCCTTACTGCTGCATTTTCAGCGAATGTTGGTCTTGGCAAATGCACCAATCAACTCATCGTTGCTATCGCCAACCGCTTGGCGCACGAAGCTTTTTGCCTGGGAAGTTTTGACGACCAAAGAGCCTCAGTTCGCCTGAAAGCTTTTCATACTAGCAGGATTCGGAGAAGGGTTACGTTTACCTTCGAGCTAGCTCGTTTTCTGTCGATGCGAACTCGCGATGTGTTCCAACGTCATCATGGGCTACTGATCGACCATGAAAGGTAAACTACGCGGGGTGCAGCAAGCACGTTCTGGACGTTACTTTGGGGCACTGGGTAGTCGGCCGTGTTAGGCCGAGAGAGAGAGGTTGAGAGAGAGTTGGAGAGAGAGTGGGAGAAGGAAACTTGATTGGAGAGAGACGGTGGTGGTGGTGGAGAGAGAGAGGGAAGAAGAACAAGTGCGCAGCACGCACGCAAGCCTCATCATCGCACCGAACACGCCCAAAGGGTCCCCGTGACTGCGCCGGTGGTACCCTTCAACACACGAAATTACCAACACGTATCCCCTGGGATCCTCACGACCAGATACTGTTGCGAGTATATCTAACAGACCAACTTCCACCAGGGCCAATTGGTTGGGATCTCTGCGACACCGATAGTAATGAGGGTAGTCATTTTGGGAGTGACGGACACGAAGGAAAGGGAAAGGGAAGAAAGGAGGACGAAGACGACGATGGAGGAGTGGAAGAGTGCAAAGGGTTTGAGCCAGATGACCTTCCCCAAAACAAAAAACGTAGGGCTAGCGAAGAATTGCCCAGAGATTATTGTCACAATGAGGATCAGAGTGATGGTAGTTAAAACAAGAAGGATAGACTAATGGTAAAAGTACTCCTTGGCGAACTCGAGTAAAAGGTCATACATAGCCTTGGTAGACGCGTACAGTTTTCGTCTGTTGCTGCTGTTTCTGTCTTTGATCCGAAGGATAGTTTAGCCTCCCCCATGCTGCCCCCCCCCCCCTGGTGTTGCCATCGGGGTTGGGTTTTCGTCGCTTGGCACCGACGTTGTAAAACAAGCCAGTTCACTTCGTGAAGTCGGCAACCACGTTACCGCTTTTTATTTTTATCACGGCTATTTGGGACAACGTTTTCCTAATTTTTTATTTGGGACACCACGTCTAACTCGGCGTAGAAAGCTCGGATCGACCTCAAACCAAGTTTGTTGTAATCCTACTGGACACAGCTTTCACGGAATGTAGCTCCTTGGCTTCGGTAAATCCACGTTTTCTCCATAACAAGGATCCCCCTTTTTAGGCTCTATCTCCTCGGCCCCGGCTCCAAGTTTTTTGTAATCCTACTGGACACAGCTTTCACGGAATGTAGCTCCTTGGCTTCGGTAAATCCACGTTTTCCTCCATAACAAGGAGCCCCTTTTTTAGGCTCTATCTCCTCGGCC